AAATCAAATTTAAAGTGATTTTTCCATAAGGCTACATTTTAAATTAAAAATTCTTTAAATTAAACGTGTAAAAAAGGGTATAGTTGAACGATCTGATATTTTTTAAGGGTATTTCTTATTTTCTTAGGAAGAATTTTTGAAACCATCGGAAGATTCGATGATAATGCACAGTCTTGCACTCGCTAGCCTCCACATTGTTTATATTGTATTGTGCCATAATATATTCTTTATAATTGTTCTGTTGTTAGATATTAAAATATTTATTGAAACCACACCCAGCCAACGTAGGTATACTCATTCCAACGATAATTGCACCACCTTTGTACAATAATATCGTTTCATACAAGGTATACTTATGTTATAATTATACTATTTGCCATTTAATTTTATAGAAGTATAACTTCTTACTTGGGTACCCGAGCACCCACTGTTCACTGGTTTTTAATACGTATGTATACAAAGTAATGAAATAAATAAACAATTTTTGCTAAAAGAAGCAATTGGAAGAATAATTAAATTTAATAAGTAGTTCAAAACATAACGCAGCATCAAAATTTTTACTTCAATCATTTTTAACAAAAATTTTTTTCTTTTTTCAAAACTGTAATTTTTTTCTCTATAGACGATTTCCACTTCTGAATTATTTTCACGTCCAATTGGCATAAATATCCCTTATTTAATTTTGCATCTTGGTAAGGATACCTACAATTGTCCATGAAAAATTAAGGCTTTTTTAAGTACAAACCTCTACTTTATCCTCGCTTTATCGAAACTTTGTGTTTGGGATTTGTTAAATGTGATGGAAAATGATAAAACTGGAGAAAATTACGTTATTTAATACATAATGAAATGTAATGACGGAGTATTACCTGTATTTTCTGAGTAAAGATTTTTTTGTATAGTATTTCTCCAGTTAGAATTTCATCAATAATATTATACTTAAATTTTTGCACAAACCGTCAGTTATACTTAAATTCCTTATTAACACAATCTTAGCTCCAACTTTCAAATTTAGCTCGTGTGATTAGAAAATTTATCCAAATGTTATCATCTATTTTATCGACACACTGGTATATAACATGATATATATGCTATCATAAGTTGTAGTATTAATATTTATTTGATCCAAAATTTTGTTATTTAAAAAAAAGTATATTCATTTGGATGTGATACAACCATACTTATATTACTTACTGTTTTTTTATAACAGAAAGCGTTTGACGAAAATCTTTTCCTAATTAAGATCATGCAACAAAATGCACTCGAAATTATTTAAATTCAAAGGTAAACTAAAAATGGTTTGTGTTGGGTTATTCCTTTCGGGAGTGGTAGTGACGCAATATCAGTCTGGGTCATCGACAAAAAAATTTTTCTTTGTGATATAGTAATAAATTCATATCTCACACAACAAGATTTTTCCTGATCCTTCGGGACCACCTATAAAATAAATTCCATTAATGTTTTTACAATTAATTTAAAAAATATTTTTGTTCGTTATTTAGCTGAGAATAAATTGAATCAAACAGATATTTACATAAAGTAATTTTCTCAATGTTATCATTGCCTTGTAAGTAAATTTTTTTTTTATGTGGATAAATTAAATGACATATCTTCCAGTTCAAAACTTTTATTAATGTGTAGAAGAGTCTAATTTTCCTTCGATAAGGTACAAAAATTTTTGTACCAAATTATTTGGAAAAAGATGATAAAAAGATATAGTATCTATAATGTTTGTATATACATTATTTAAGATACATTTGAAGCGTTAAAAAGTATTCATGTACATAAAAGTTTTCGATTATAAAATTCCGAGTTTCGAAAATAAGAAATACTTAACTATGATGACTTACGAGAAAAATAATTTGATGAAGATGCTCAAAATATCGATAGAAAAGACACAAGAATTAATTCTTCAAATGCTTACTTTTTAAAGTCGTAATAAAAAACATAAAACATTATGTTCAGCATTAAAAAAATTTATTGAAGAGAAAACAAAAGTAGATATGTGTATTTGGTGGAAAAGTTCGAAAGCATATATACTTATTAAAATATACGCCTTTTCTAAAAACAACATTTGAAACAACTGTACTTAAGCAGACTACATAAAAAACGTAAGTGTTATACAGCAAAATATTTAAATATAAAATGCAATTTTTTAATAGAAATTCGTAATAAATATTTATTTGCTAAACTTAGATGACTATCACTGAGCAACCCAATTCTTTGAATCAAAGAAAATTTCTTTACCCTCATTCCGTTAAATATTTTCTTTTAATTGAAACAAATTTAGTCGATCCAAAAAAACATTTCGTACAACTAAATGAGAAATTCGTAATTAAAAAAAGAAAATTTTAATTTAATAAAATATTATTTTCAATTAACTTATATTTTTTTACTCATAAGAAAATATTTAACGGAATGAGGGTAAAGAAATTTTCTTTGATTCAAAGAATTGGGTTGCTCAGTGTAAAAAACATAAA